TGGGAGGGAGGATGGGCGTGGGGCTCCGCCTGTCTGAGTCCTTCGCCCACGCCCTCGCGGGCACACTTGCAGCACCAGGGCCACCGGCCGGCCCGCACACCTGGTGCGCTCATGCAGGGAAGCTGGGCTCCGCCTGCCTGCGGAAGCAGCGGTAGATGACGCAGACGCCCACTCGTGACCCTGTCGAGGTCCCCTGCCCACCCAAGCTGAGCCCCCTGGCTCCCAGCTTGCTCCCCTGGGTCAGATGACCTAGTGCCCATCTCCCCGCCCCCCCTTTGACTTCTGAGCCTCAGTTGCCGCCTCTGTAAAATGGGAGAGTGTGAGGCTGGTGATGGGGGAAGAGATGTGAACGCTATAAACTCTCGAGTACTGTACCAATACTGGGGCTCAGGTAGAACCTGTTCAAGAGAGGCAAGTCCCCTAACTGCTTGGTGTCTCCATTTCTGCACTTGTAAGATGGGAATGATTAATTTTTCTCATAAGCGTGACGTGCCGAGAGCGCTGTCTGTGGCTGTCACTGTGGTTACCGTTATGGTCACTGTTGGGCTGGCCAAAAGCCTGAATTCTCTCTCTTACCCGGGTATTCTGGTTTTCCTTGGCTCTCCGCTCCTATCTGGGAAATGGGGAGGTTGGGGAAGGCTTGGATCAGAGAAGCCTGAGGGTCTGAGAGAGTCAGGGACTTGCCCACGACCAGAGAGATGGAAAATCTCTGAACCATGTTTTCCATCTGTAAAATGGGGTTGATAACAGGTTCTCTGACCATCCACTGAGATTGTAAAGACCACGTGAGAAAATAAGCTCGGGAACCTCCTGTAATCTTCAAGTGCTGTCCACATGCAAAGAACTGTAATTATGATTTCTTCCAGGTGCCTCTTTGTCCTAAGAGGTTGAGGATTAGTCAAGAACTGAACTAGCTTTAGCCACTGAGTTTCGGAGGATCCTGTGAAAAGGGCCTCGCAGGGAGTCCCCCACATCAGACTGTCACCTCCTGCCTTGCTGGCACAGGGTGGAGATGGAGGGGATTCCTGGGGATTCACTGGACCTTCAGGGACTTTATGGT